GCTGTCCAGGTGACCACCTTAAGCTGCTTCTCCTACAACTACACCTCTCTGGCCTTGTACCTAACTCCCTGCCTCTCCGCCTTCTGCTCTGGAATTCATCAAGAGTCTCAGGCTAAACACAGAGGACAAACCAGTGGCTGCCAGAGGGAAAGGGCGTGGGGAGTGGGCAAAATGGGTGAAGGGGAGAGGGAGATACAGGCTTCCAGTTGGGGAATGAATAAGTCACAGAAATAAAAGGCACAGCATAGGGAGTAAAGTCAGTGACACTGTAAGAGCATTGTATGGTGACAGGTGGTAGCTACACTTCGGGCGAGCATAGCCTAACTTACAAACTTGTTGAATCACTATGTTATACACCCGAAACTAATGTAACTTTGCGCGTCAACTACACTCAAATAAATAAATGGGGAGGGGGAATCTTTAAGGGAAAGGGGCTCTCGGGACTAGATTCTGGAACTATTGAGTGGGCCCAGGTGTGCTCTGGGAGCCTCATGGACTCCAGCCCTCAGCTGCTGACCGTGACATGGGTCCCATCTCCACTGGTGCCCAACAGTGAGCTGCCTTGGAGAGCATTTCCTTGTTTCAGACAAGCTGGAGGTTGTCTTTCCCTTGTCTGAAATGCTGGCCAGGAATGGCTCGCCACATCCACCTTCCTGAGACTCGTGCTCCAGGGCAGATCTTGCCCTCAGACACTGAAGTGCTCAAGGAGGCGAGCGGAGGATCTAGGCTGAGAACAGACATACTAAAGAGAACCCTCGGGGCACCTGGGTGGCTCAGTCAGTTAAGCTTCCGACTTCAGCCCAGGTCACGATCTCACGGCTCGTGGGTTTGAGCCCCGCTTCGGGCTCTGTGCTGACAGCTCAGAGCCTGGATCCTGCTTCAGATTGTGTCTCCCTTTCTCTCTACCCCTGCCCATGCTCTCTCTCTCAAAAAATAAATAAACGTTAAAAAAGAGAGAGAGAGAGAGAGAAGAGAACCCTCTGTAATGAGATCTCCATGGTATTTGTCCTGGGGCCCAAGGCCACAGTTCTCTTTCTCTTTATTTTTAATCATAGAAAATTCAAAGCAAACACAGGAGTAGAAAGAATTGTAAAGTGAAACCCCAGGGACCCCGTCATCCAGCTTCAATAGGTTGTCATCTGTCATCATAACTCTAGGAGCCGGGGATAGGGAAGTACAGAAGGTTTCAGATAACATGTCATGGTACCCATAAATATGTCAGAGGCACATCTTTAACAGATAGCATTTTCAACACGCTCACCATGCATTTATCACCTAATGCCACAGTAGTTCATATTCATATTTCCCTGTTGTCTTTATTTATTTATTTTTTTTCAACTTTTGAGTGGGGGTGTAGAGGGAAAGAGAGAGGGGAGACTCTTAAGCAGTTCCATGCTCAATTAGGAGCCCAACACAGGACTCACTCCCACGACCCTGGGATCATGACCTGACCCCAAATCAAGAGTCGGATGCTCAACTGACTGAGCCACCCAGGCGCCCCGCCCTATTGTCTTGAAGGTCAGTTTACTCAAACTGAGAACAAATTGTTCCTTGATACGGGCAAATATCGTATTCATTTTCCATTTAACCCACTTCCAACTCCCCAGTTCTTGTTGGGTGAGGAGCAGGAAGTTAGGTAAGAACATTGACAGTGACTTGAGAGGTTTAGTGGAAGGCACGTGTGGGATCTGGATGAGCCTTCTCTTCCCTGCTCTCTGAGGGAAAGACAAGCTTACTTGTTATGAGCCTTAAAATTCACAGACAGTGATCTGTTAAGTACTCATCAAAAGCAAATAAGCATTATTACATAAATCCCCAACAGTATTTCGCTATATATATAAAAAAAAGGTATTAGTTAAGCTCTATTCTCTGATGTGAAAAGTCAACTGAATCACTCAGATAATTCTTAAGAAATGCATTCAATGTTTAATGGCCTTGTTCTTAAAAGAGATACCCTCCCCCACCCAGTCGAACCACTCTTTTGAGTTTAGAAGTGTTATTTAACAAAAACAAAATCCACTGTTCTTCCCTCCGTCGGTCATTAGAAGATGGTCTTTAGCTCTTGGTTACTTTTCATTCTTTTCCCTGGAAGAGGTTCCCCTTAGAAAGGAAGGGAGAGTAAATCCAAGAGTGCAGGGCGTTAACAGGGATCTAGTGGAGGGTAGAATGCTAAATTGTAACTTCTCGCCGGGCAGAAGAAGATTTTGCTATATTTTATTTATTAGGTTGACTCCTTTGTTGATACAAATCCCATGAGATGTTGTAATCTCTTAGCTATGCTTTAGAGGAAGGTTTTAGTCTCCTTCTGCTACTGTAACACATTGGTCAAACTCAGTGGCTTAAAACAACACACATTTATCACGGTATGGTTCTAGAGATCAGAAATCTAAAATGAATTTTACAGCACTAAAATCAAGATGTTGGCAGGCCTGATACTTTCTAGAAGCTCTAACCGAAAATGCGTTCCTTGCCTCTCCCAGCTCCTAGAGTCTGCCCACATTCCCTGGCTCGTGGTCCCTTCCTCACATCACTCAGACCACTTGCTTCTGCATCACATCTCCTGCTACCCGCCCTGGTCTCCTGCCTTCCTACTATCAGGATCCTTGTGATCATGTTGGGCACCCGCAGGTCATTAGGATGATCTCTCCATCTCAAAATCTTTCATTTAAACACATCTGCAAAGTCTCTTTTTTGCCATATATGGTAATATTTACAGTTCAGGGGATCAGGATTTGGGCACTGCTTAAGGGAAGGACTGAGCTGTTGAAAATCCAGGCCTCATAAACCACCCCAGAACTCTCTCTTCTTTTAGTCTTCTTGGGGGTGGCCGGTTGACAGTCACATACACTGTACTCTGGGAAATCCAAAGCTGGTCATTTGTTGAAGGGTAGAAATTTGTGGTCTCCGAAGCAGATAATATGCATTTTCTCCCTTGTGAATCAAAATTGTTCAAAACTGTGAGTATCCATAGACAACTATTGAGATATCATCATCAAATAGCTTCAGTCTTGGACTTCTGTGGTTTCTATGGGGTTGTGCAAACATTAGGTACATTTGCCATCCCTCTCAAATTGGGGCAGGGTCTAGGACTGCTTTGACCGTGTCCAGGCCTTAGGAGTCAGACAGCTTTCACTTCCTGGCTCCCAGAACACTGGATCTGGAGGCCTAATCTTCCACGTAACAAGTCCAACAACCTTGCTGGGGAGATTGCATGGAGAGGTCTGGAGGTTGCTGAGAGAGGAAGAAAGCCACAGCCTCCCAGCTATCCCTGCCAGGGCACCATTTATGTGAGCAAGCTGTCGTGGATCTTCCAGACCAGCTCGCTCCGGCTGAATACCACCGAATGACTCAGTCTACACCACAGGCAGAAGAACCACCTTATCAAGTCCTCTCTGAATTCCTGATCTACAAAATTGTGACATGCAAGAAAGCGGTTGTGGTGTTAAACCTCTAGGTTTAAGTCTGTTCTGCAACAATTCGATGACCAGACAGAATTTGGTGGCCACTACTCACACACGGTGTGCTAGTCACTCTCTAGAGGGGCTAAGGGTAGAAACGGAGGGGGCAGCCATCCCCAAATCCCAATCCACAGTATCATCAGAGGGTGTAGATTTGGACCTTTCCTGTCTACATAGCGAGAAACTGATGGATTGACTCATCTCCGAAGTGAGGATCATGGCAACAAAGAGTCAGAGTTTTTTTGGAGTGACAAATGGAATAAGAAGAGTTTTGTAATCTGAGAAGGCCTATCCGGATGTCGTACTTAGTAGTGGTAGTTATAGTAACGGTGTTAGAGGAGAATTAAATGGAGAATAGTCATTCTCTGCTTGTTTAATATTGTCTCCAAGGGTGGGTGTTGATAACAGGTTTCGAGCAATATGATTTTGCATCATAACTCATTTTCACTGTTGAGAAGGAAGAAAAGGACAAGGGAAGAGGAAAACAAGTTATTATTTTTTTCCTCCCAGAGAGTTTGGGACCTAGAGTGTTACTTGCTGATGTATTACGTAATTGTAGATTATGTAATTTGTGGACACATGTATTCTCTTCCTGTCCTGAGCTGACCCTCCCCTCTCTTGCTTTCTCTGATCCCCGTGCAATTTTCTGTGTATCCTGCCACTACAATAGAATGAAAATGTATTTTTTAGACCTCAGCTGAGCCTGTGACTGCCCATTTAAAACCAATTGCCCTTCAGAAAGTTTGATCAAGCCTTGTACAAACAATGATTAAAGAGCTGGAGCGGAATAAGTCGGCCTCTCCAGGGAAGACAGTTCATGCAATCAAGGCATGAACTTGAGCCCAGAAAAGAGCCAGCACATGTAGTGTCTTTGCAGACATTTCAAGTTTAGTCTGTCCATACTGAGGTCTGCAAAAGATTAGAAGCTGGAAGTCTAGGCCTGTCAGGAACCAGACCCACACAGCCTCTGGGACCAGAGGCCTTTGGTCACAAGATACGGGAGCCTCTTCTCAAGCAACTGAGACAGAACATGCAAACACGTATTTCTGTCTTGTAGAGTAAGATTCCTGGGCCGGATGTCCATTTTCAATTTTAAAAACTGGCTTAGAATTCTCCCTGTGTTCTTAGCCATAAGAAAGGCTTTGCTCACTGTTGACTAGCCTACCCTGATGGAAAACAAACAGAATGTTAGGTTTTGAAAACAATACAAATCAGACTTCCCTGCCGGACCACCCTGTTTAAGGACAGCAGGAGAGATCCAGGTGACTTTTCTGTGCTTGAGGTTTTCACCTTTTCACTGCGAGAGTTGCTCTGAGTACGGTTAGCACAGCTCTTGTGAGGTCAGGGTGCCATCTTCCAAAGACAGGACCCCTTATTTTGAAAGAAACCGGCTGCATCCTAGGCCAGATATTGGAAGTCAGAGACCGGAGGGCATCCCACGGCCTGGAGAGAAGGGGAGATTGCCAATACTGTGTTTCCCGGTGGTGAGCTGTGTTTGTTCAGGCGGAGAAAGGAATGAAAGTGTTCCTTTCTCCCGATAAGGTGAAATTTCTCCAGACCAAATTCCCTGGCACCCAGTGATTATACCTCTGAAGCGGCCAAGCCCACAGCACACAGGAAGCAACAGTGACGTGCCCTGGAGAAGACACAGGTGCTACTGAACGGAGACGGTGAGGGCGGAAGGAGGGGGTGGAAGCTCACCCCGGGGATCCAGCGGGAGCTGGGGACGCAGGGCTGCACACGGGCACACTTGACTTTGCCATTGGTGTGTGCCTTTGGCGAGTCCTCTGACGACTGTAAATTACGTTCCTCATTGGGAGAATGGGGATATCGTCTATTTCATGGATTCTGGGTGAGAGTGCCTGTTGCAGGTCATGTTCATGGCACAGGACGAGGGAAGAGTGGGGCCGCTGAAACATAAGAAACCGGTGAGACTGAAGTCATCGATACAAGTCATTCCCAGCTTGGGGGCAAGGATGGGGCTTCTGTGCAAGGCTTAGGGCCTCAGTCGGGATTGCTCTGGGATCCAAGGAGCTGGTGGTGAGTGGTCCTGAGTCTCTGCGGGGTCATTAACCTCTTCAGCTGTGCCACGAGGCAGGCAGGGCCTGGGACTGCAGGCCATAACAGAGCTGACACCCACGGCAGGCTGTGCACACTCTCCGTTCTTTTTATTTTAAAAAAATTGTTTTAATGTTTATTTATTTTTGAAAGAGAGACAGAGTACGAGATGGGGAGGGGCAGAGAGAGAGAGGGAGACACAGAATCTGAAGCAGGCTCCAGGCTCTGAGTTGTCAGCACAGAGCCCGACACAGGGTTTGAACTCATGAACCACAAGATCACGACCTAGGAGGAAGTTGGATGCTTAACTGACTGAGCCACCCAGGGGCCTCCATACCCTCACTTCTTTTTTTTTTTTTTTTTAATTTTTTTTTTTTTCCAACGTTTATTTATTTTTGGGACAGAGAGAGACAGAGCATGAACGGGGGAGGGGCAGAGAGAGAGGGAGACACAGAATCGGAAACAGGCTCCAGGCTCTGAGCCATCAGCCCAGAGCCTGACGCGGGGCTCGAACTCACGGACCGTGAGATCGTGACCTGGCTGAAGTTGGACGCTTAACCGACTGCGCCACCCAGGCGCCCCCATACCCTCAGTTCTTAATGAAGGCTTGTAGCAACCCAACTCGTCTCAATTCCAGGTTATGCCGCTTTCCCAATCTTCATGTACCCATCTGGCAAGCTTTCTTTGTTTTTTTTAATTTAATTTTTTAAATTTACATCCAGGTTAGTTAGCGTATAGTGCAATAATGATTTTAGGAGTAGAAGCCAGTGATTCATCCCCCACATATAACACCTAGGGCTCATCCCAACAAGTGTCCTCCTTAATGCCCCTTACCCATTTAGCCCAACCCCTCCAGCAACCCTTCCATCAACCCTCAGTTTGTTCTCTGCATTTAAGAGTCTCTTTATGTTTTGCCCCTCTCCCTGTTTTTATATTATTTTGCTTCCCTTCCCTTATTTTCATCTGTTTTGTATCTTCAATTCCACGTATGAATGAAGTCATATGATATTTGTCCTTCTCTGACTAATTTCGCTTAGCATAATACCCTCCATGTTGTTGCAAATGGCAAGATTGCATTCTTTTTGACTGCCAAGTAATAGTCCATTGTATATATATATATATCATGTCTTCTTTATCCTTTCATCTGTCGATGGACATTTGGGGTCTTTCCATAATTTGGCTATTGTCAATAGTGCTGCTACAAACATTGGGGTGCAGGTGCCCCTTCGAAACAGCATACCTGTCTGTATCCCTTGGATAAATACTTAGTAGTGCAATTGCTGGGTCCTAGGGTAGTTCTATTTTTAACTGTTTGAGGAACCTCCATACTGTCTTCCAGGGTGGCTGCACCAGTTCGCATTCCCACCAGCAATCCATCTGGCAAGGTTTCACCCATGAAGACTCACCCACTCTGATGAAAGTTGGACTTTAAATGAATATTTGGAAAGGGATTAGGTGGCAGGTCTTCATTTCCCATTCCTTTTTTGCAGCTGGTATTCCAAGTCACCAGTCACCAAAATAAGCCTGCTTTTTTACTTTAAGCCAAAAATTTCTGTTGATAGACTGATGGTGTACAAATGGTGACCTTTCTGGATTTGCAGAATTCTTTGAATACATTATTTATTAGCTCACAGGTGCTGCATAGAGTTGTAAGATAGACGTCGAGAAGGCCAAAGAAGAAAATGCTAAAGGAAATTCTATTTGTGATAGGAGCTTCACAGGATTTCTAAATATGTTGTGAAACCTATATTTCGGCGTCTGCCTCTGCAATGGCCATGGATGTTAGGGTAAACAAGTAAACAACTTGGCTTCACTTTTATCGTTTTGGGGAAGTCTAGCTTATTCAGGGGGAAAAGGGCCAATAGCAAGAAATAGTATCTTTGCAATAATGCCTTTTCCAAATGTTTTGCATTTGCTCATCCGTGAGATAATTGTGACAACCTTGTGATGGAGCAGGAGTTAGGTATGGTGTCAACATCGACACCTGCGGGAACAAAGTCAGAGAGCTGGCAGAGGTCACAATGACAGTGACAGAGAAGGGTTGGAGCCAAGGTTTCCTGTCGGCCTCTTACTGATGAAAGTTTGAAAAATGTTCTTTCTTTTATTATGAAAGTAATACAGGGGCGCCTGGGTGGCTCAGTCTGTTGGGCGTTCGACTTCAGCTCAGGTCATGATCTCACCGCTGATGGGTTCGAGCCCCGCATCGGGCTCTGTGCTGACAGCTCAGAGCCTGGAGCCGGCTTTGGATTCTGTGTCTCCCTCTCTCTCTGCTCCTCCCCTGCTTGCACTCTGTCTCTCTCTCTCTCTCTCAAAATAAATAAACATTAAAAAATAATAAAATAAAAGTAATACGTACTCATGAAAAAAATTAGAAAATAGAGAAAATTAGGGAACAAAAATTACTCCCAATTCTACCACTCAAACACCATTATTGTTAACATCTTTGATCCAGAAGATAAAGGACTTCTGTGTGCTCCCCGCTACACGCTCAGGTATGCAGTGAATACCTGCTCTTAGCAGTCTTACACTAATTGAACTGTCATACAGATCCTTGCTTGGCATTCAGAGAGACAAGTGGCTGTCTACTCAGTATGAGCTGAGCGGCACCAAAAGAGAGCCAGTTGTGCCCACTCCCTTCCTCTGGGACCATTATTAAGTCACTTCTTAGGCTAAGTAACCATGTCTCCAGAAAGCAGGTCCCTATTAGTTGTAGTTAGGTCTTATGAGATGAGTAACCCATTAGCATCCGTGAACAGAGACCGGTTTCTCAGATTAACTGGTTCAGAACAAGACTCTGATGGAAGGGAAGGATGGGTAATTGTTTGGTTTTTTTTTTTAACAAATTAAATGCATTATTTACTTGTTTATTTTATTTTTATTTATTTTTATTTTTTAAATTTACATCCAAGTTAGTTAGCATATAGTGCAACAATGACTTCAGGAGTAGATTCCTTAGTGCCCCTTACCCATTTAGCCCATCCCCCTTCCCCCAACCCCTCCAGAAACCCTCTGTTTGTTCCATATTTAGGAGTCTCTTCTGTTTTGTCCCCCTCCCTGTTTTTATATTGTTTTTGCTTCCATTCCCTTGTGTTCATCTGTTCTGTGTCTTAAAGTCCTCATATGAGTGAAGTCATAGGATTTTTGTCTTCCTCTGACTAGTTTCACTTAGCACGATACCCTCTAGTTCCATCCATGTAGTTGCAAATGGCAAGATTTCATTCTTTTTGATTGCCGAGTGATACGCCATTATACATATACCACATCCTCTTTATCCATTCTTCTGTCAATGGACATTTGGGCTCTTTCCATCCTTTGGCTATTGTTGATAGCGCTGCTATAAACATGGGGGTGCATGTGCCCCTTCGAAACAGCACACCTGTAGGATGGGTAATTGTTAAAACTAGTGTGAGGAGTGTTTTCAAAGCTATAACAGGGGCGGGTGGTCTCTCTGGTCGATGACACCTGACATTCTACTGCTGCTGTCATCATCATATGACAGGACAGATGGTTTTCCAAAGATGGAGATATCTATCTCATACAGCATGTCCTTCTTACGGTGCGACGGACACCCAGTCACTGAGAGGTAGAGTCTGTTTCCTTTCCCTTGAGTCTAGGCACGAGCCTGTGACTGTGCTGACTACTGGGGAATGGCGGAAGTGAAACTGTGTGACTTAGGCTGCTAGATCCCAAGAAGGGTAAAGCTTCCACTTGGTGCTTGCATTTCTCTCTCTTCTTCCCTTCCCCGCCATCTTCTCAATGTTCACTTCTGGAATCCAGCCACCATGCAGTGAGGAAGCCAAGACTAGTCCAAGTAGAGAGATCACATGGAGAGGAACTGAGACCTTCGGCCAACAGGCAGCACCGACCACCAGACACGCAAGTGAAGGAGCCTTCAGAGGATCCCAGCTCTCAGCCTTCAAGGCTTCCAGCTGAGGCCCAGCACTGCAGAGCAGACACAACAAGTTATCTCCATTCTGCCTCGGCTGGATTTCTGACCCACAGAACCCATAAGCGTGATGGGTAGCTGTTTATGCCACCGAACTGAGGGGGTAACTGTTACATAGCCATAATACTGGCACATGCATCTAAATGAAGAAAGACACCTACCCAAGAAATCAGATGCTCGCTTTGTAGAAACGTTATCAGTAGCTTCTGACCCTCATGCTATAAACCCTGCAATCTAAGAGCGAAGACAAATGCCCCGCCCAAGTTCACCTTCCTTGCATCTTTACTTGACTAATTCTCCACTTCACCCCTTCCCCGGGTCAGAGGTGCTCTAGCCAAAGTTATCTGGGGACCATATGGTTCCTGTAGAATCCACCCTTTATCTCTCTTCTTCTAGTGTCTCCTCAGTGTGGAGGATGGTAGAACTTTGGAGGAATGGGACACATAGGCTTGTATGAGGGGCAGCAGGTCAGAGGTTCAGATGTACAGTCTTTAGACACATGCTCCCAAGAGTGTGTGGTTGCTGTCATGTCCAATATTTGTAACCCAGCCCAAAGTAGTGCATGTTCAAGATTTTTTTAAAAATCCAAGTCATGCAGAGAATGAGAAGTAAATGTTTTCCTATCCCCTCTTCCCACGCCAGCAGTGGGCACAATTAGCCCTGGGTGGGACAGTGCTAGCACTGGGAACCATACCCCCTCGCTTCAAATCCCTGCTCTGTGAGGGGACTAGCTACGTGACTTGGGCCCCAGTTCCCTCATGTGTACAATGGGGACAACTTATCCCCTAAGTCGTGAGTTGCTGCGAGAGTTACACGAGCTAATAGAGGTAAAGCACTTAGGACAGGGTCTGACGCACACAGTCCTACTCGGGATTAATCATTCCTACCATTACTGCTGCTGTTAGTATTATCATCATTCCTCGTAGGGTTTTCTGTGGCCTTAATGGGTTCAGGAGATGGAAGGTATTGGGAGGAACCTAGAGTTAGGGAGAAGGACTCCCAGACCATAGGGTGGCCGCTGTGGAATGTAGTGAACACCCTCCACGTCTCCTCACTGCAGCCCCTTCAGGGCTGGCTAAGCCCTGGACGCCTCTGCCAGGTGTCTCTAACCACACTTTCTAGTTGGTGGTAGAGTAAGAGGCTAAAATGTTGCTACAAGAAAAGAGGGAGGCCCAAGCTGGCCCAATCCTGACGGTTTGGGAATCCCGAGAGGTTGTGAGAT